ATGCTACTTCAGGACCCTGAAGTCCTAGTGAGTAAACTAAAGTAAAAGAAATGAAAGGTAAAATGAACAGAAGTGTTGAAATTGTGCAGATATTTTGCATGTAGATTCGGAGAACTTACAGATGAATAATTAAAATCTATTTTGCACTTAATGAAGACACTGGTTAAAAGAACAATGCTCAAAAATCCACTTATTTCTATGTATTAGTAATAGTATTTTAGAAGATACCACTTCAGTCAACATCAGTGTTAAATGCAGAGTCAGAAGTCTAACAAAGGTTTTGTAAAACATTTATGAAGAAAACAATAAAACATTACTGGCAGAAATTAAGGAAGATCAAAATTAATACAAAGACATACCAAGTTCATGGATTGGAAAGCTCCATATTGTAATGATGTAAACCCACCTTTGAATCCATCTACAGATTCAAAGTAATCCCAGCTCATCCTTTATCAAAGTGTTGATTCTATTTCTAGCTTTTTACATTTGAGAAACTCAATGCCAGGGCACCAAGGTCCCTCCATTTCATCAAAAATAACTTGAGTGCATAGTATGCGCCAAACACTTGGATGTAGTAAACCGATGAGAAGTAAAAAGCTCTCCTCTTTTAAAGCCTTATGGTCAAGGAAGCTTGGTAAGTCAGATAGTCAAAACAAAATGAAATCATGTATTTTCTGTGGAGGGGATACGTGCTCTGGGGAAGAGGGAGGACAGCAAACTCCAGAGGATGAAGACAGTGGGAATGAAATGTGCAGAATTAATTATGGTGTTTAGAGTAAGCTTCATGGAAAAGCAAAGGGTGGGCCCAGACTTGCAGGGTGTGAAAAGATCCTTCCAGATGAAGGCAAGAGCCACAGCACTGGCCCTAAAGTGGGAGTGGGCCTTGGATGCATGATGCCAGGTAGTAATTATTTCCATTCTACCAGATTATTCCTAAACAGTCATATTTGCACATGTCTAGTGTTACAAGTCTCATCTCCTGGGATTCAGCATTTATTTCTGAAGTCGAGGTAACAGGACACAGAAAATCCCAAATTCTCCACTCTGCACAGGAGAGTAACTGATATTTTTGTGAATCCTTGTAATTCACCAATCTATTTCCCTCACTCTTTTTGTAAACCCGTATTCATTTTTTTCTGCAGCCACAGTGGAAGGGAGATTTTCTCTATTTTTTCCAAGATTCTTTCCCCCAGTAGTGTTCTCAAGGAATCCCATTGATTCGCACTCGAAAGAAAAGACCAGATCTGAGAAAGCTAACCCCTAGAGAACCGTCAAAGAGTAAATTTCTGTTCTTTAAAGCCATCCAGTTTATGGCCATTTGTTACAAGAGTTCCAGGACACAAAGTCACCAACATCCCAACTGATCGTGTCCCAGCTGTGTGTGTGAAGTGCACTTTGCTTTTCGGGTCGTTACACTCCCTTCCAGGTTCGGGGTCCTCTCGTGTCTTGGTTACTGTTTCCTCCTTGTGTGTGAGAGCCCAGGGCCGGGAGTCACCTGTCTTCCCCCCTTACTACCAGCATCTTGCAGGTAAGAGACCAACCACCGTGTCCCCAAGAAGGACACTGGGACTTACGGAAGCACGATTCCGCGTGCCCCAGCGGTGGGCTGTTCACATGGTGGGGGGGCCTAGCGATTCCTCCCGGCCCCGGGGACCCCCACCAGCCCCGCGCTGTCCTACGGGGCAGCCCGGCGGGTTCCCGAGCTTGGGCAGCTGAAAGGACACCAGCCCGGGCCCCGACCCGCCGCGGCTCCGGGATGCCCGTCCCAGGAAGGCCCTAGGGGAGGCCCGCGGGGCTGGGGGCCCGGCCGCCCGCTCCTGCCGAGCGGAGGGACGCGGGCACCAAAACCCTGGAGAGGGACATCGGCCGCACTGCGCACGAACAATGGGCGGGACCCGCGGCCTCAGGAGCGCGGGGGGCGGCCCGTGAGGATCGGGGAGGGTCCCGGGTCCCGGGCGGAGTCCGGACCCGCTGGCCGGACGGCGAGATTCGGGGTCAGGCTCGGGGCACCGACTTCCCCTACGCCGGAGGCCTCTGGGAGCCGGGCGGGCCCCGGACCACCCTGCGGCCGCCTGATCGGGTCCTGGACCCTCCCTAGGGGTCTCTCCCGCGTGCGGCCTCCCCGGCACCGCGACTCACCATGTCCCACCCGTTCCGGGGCAGCTCCGCGGCCCGTGAGGGGAGCGCGCCGGTGACCGGGACGCCACGCCACTCGGGGACAGGCCGAGCGCGCGCGGCACCCGGGGACAGTGACGGCCCGCCCTCGGAGCCTGATTGGACAATGTTCCAGGCACTCCCCGCCTCCTGAACGCTGATTGGACAATTCTCCAGGCTTGGAGGCCTGTGATTGCTCAGTGTTCCGCCGAGTGACAGACGGGCGTGGGATCACGTGGCCAAGCCGGGCGGAAATGCGGTGTCTCAGCCTCTGCCCTTACCCACCCGGCTTCCTCCCCAGGACCCGGACAGAGGTCGGAGGACTTTCCCCTCTAGGTAGAGCTCGGTCAGGCCCGGGGCGGACAGCGGGGTATCTCCCCCTGCGTCCTCCTCCTGGACGCGGGGACTCAGGTGTGCACGGAATTCCAGACTCAGTTTCCCCACGGGAGCAACCCCCTGTCCAAGGCAGGAGGAGCCAGGGTGGGACTGGACAGGCCAGGAGGGCCTGGGGTCCTGCAGGGCCAGGGATGAGCCTGGGGCTTTGGGGACCTCGGGGACGGCTGCAGGCCCTCCCAGGGACCTTTGCCTATAATATATCAACATCTACACTAAGAATTGATGTTATTGTGCCTGAATTTTTCAGGGAAAACATATATTTTCTAGTTTGGTCTCAGAATTCGTTGATTATTTTTTTTTGTTTTTTGGTTAGGTGGACTTAAAAGAGATCGATTCTGCCTTGCTTCTTTAAGATTTATATTATTTTATTGTATGATCAGGATTTTTTCTGTCAATGTTACGATTTAAATTTCTTTTCCTTCCCTCAGTTAGTTTGTTATTCCCTGTATGTGGCACCCCGACTCCCTGTTTGGAAAGTCTGCTGTCAGAGGTCTGGGTAGATGCACCACCACCCTCTGTCTCACCCTCAGACGCGAGCCATCGATCGCAAAATCAATGAGGTTTTTGATGTAAGGATCCATCTCCTCCTCCCTCTCCCCGGCACCTCCACTTTTACCCCTTGGTCTCAGTCTTAAGGTTTGTCTTCACACTACCTTTTGAGGAGAGGCCCCAGAAGCAATGTCTTTACTTTTATTAATGGCTCTATTAGGAATCTCTAGGATGTGCACGGTGGCTCACACCTGTAATCCTAGCACTCTGGGAGTCTGAGGCGGGCGGATTGTTTGAGCTCAGAGTTCGAGACCAGCCTGAGCAAGAACGAGACCCCGTCTCTACTAAAAATAGAAAGAAATTAGCCAAACAACTAAAAAAATATATATATAAAAATTAGCCGGGCATGGTGGCACATGCCTGTAGTCCCAGCTACTCGGGAGGCTGAGGCAGGAAGGAGGATCGCTCGAGCCCAGGAGTTGGAGGTTGCTGTGAGCTAGGCTGACGCCACGGCACTCTGGCACTCTGGCCCGGGCAAGAGAGTGAGACTCTGTCTCAAAACAAAAAAAAAAAAAAGAAGAAGAAGAAACAAATTGGCTGGGTTTTATGGCACACGCTTGTAGTCCCAGCTACTTGGTAGGCTGAGGCAGGAGGATCACTTGAGCCCAGGAGTCTGAGGTTGCAGTCAGCTATGATGGCACCACTGCACTCTGTCCAAGGTGACAGAGTGAGACTGTGTCTTAAAAAAAAAAAAGAAAGAAAGTTAAAAGAAACCCAAGAATCTCTTCTTCGAATTCACACCGTCATCATTTTCTATGTGCTTATGTAGGGTGTTGTCTGTCTCCCTGACCTTATTATTTAAGGACCACTAGGAAAGAAGCCTGTGGCCTTATTTTACCATCTTAGTTACAAGACACACTGCCCTCTTATTAGAAACTAGAACAAATGGTTCATTGACTGGGATGGGCTTTTTGGTGTGAATCAGAAACAACTTTATATTTCTTGATACCCCTATTAAACTCCCCATTGAGGAATCAGTCTTTCCTTACACGTGGGTAAAGTCTTATGTAGACACCATCATTTTGTCAGTCACTTTCAAGTGCTGAAATTTCTCTGTTTCTATTAAGTGTTTAATTGAGTCATCCCAAATTTATATAAGATTTTATTGTTTTTTTTTAAATCAGCAAGAAATGGCAATTCAGTTGCCTTAGAGATACTATAGCTTTGTACATATCAAAGTTCTCTAGGGACACATTCAAAAACTGAGCTAAAACAAATTTCTTTCCAGTGTAAAATACGCAATTTTAATAAACACATCTATCTTTTGGTTGTTCTGAGAAGACTAGGGATGGGGGGGTTCCAAGTTGTCGCCAGCACTCGGCACCCAGAGAGTGGGGGGATTGCCTGATCTAAAGTATGACAAGCAAAAGGCAAAGTCTGGAGTTCCCGCGCGCGTCCGGAAGGGGCCGCCGACTTCGGGGAGAGGCTGGTGTCCGCCCCAGGCCGGACAAGTTCCCCCAGATGTAAAGGTCCCCGGCACGCAGTGTCAGCCACGGGTGTGCGCAACGCGCCTGTCCCTCAGACTGTAGGGGGAGGTGCGGAGTCGGAAGTTATCGTACCATCAGGGATTCCGGGTTGGGGGCCTGAAGAGCTAACCAATCAGAGGCCCCAGGGACTGAAAACTGTCCAATCAAGGCGCTGGGGCGGGGCCTCGGAACCGTTATTTACGTATGCAGCACTGTCCAATCAAAGGCTTAGCCAGGGGGGGCGGTGGCGAAAGAGTACCAAAAAAAACACTGCCCTATCAGAGCGCTGTGAGGGCGGGAACTGGAGAACTGTCCAATCAGAGGCTCATGGCCACACGCTCTGTCCAATCAGGCCCCGAGTACGAGGCGCCGCGGCTCTCCCGGATGCCCGAGCCCAACCTGCTCTGAGCTGCCCAGGTGTCCTCGACCCCGGCGCGCTCACCTGCACGGGCAGCAGTGCTCGCCCGGGAGAGGAGCGGACGGGACATGGTGAGTGCGCGGGCCGGGGGCGGTCAGGGGACGGGGTGGTTTGGGGGCGGCGGAGGCGATGGAACCGGGAAAGTGCGGAGAGGAGCCCCAGCGAGCGGGCTTTGGGGGCGGTTTGCGGGGCCGGCCTGTCCTGGTCCCACCTGGTCCCACACCTGGGGACTGTCAGGTGTGTCCTGCGCAGCCCTGAGGATTCCTTTACTGGGGCGGTAGGTTTGAGTAAATGTAAAGTAACGTCTTCCTGCTGGCCTTGGTCCTTCTGCTCAGCGGCAACAGTGAGTTTCTCCGGTCTGCCCTTCGCACTCGGTGCTGCCTCCTGTTTCTCTGGGGCGCAGCTAATACGCGGGGCGGGGGAGGGGGAGCGGTGGCGGTGGGGGAGGTGAAGAGGGGGAATGTCTCGGGAATATTCCACGTCCCAATACAACCATGGGGAAAAGGCACGTCCGTGGTTACATACCTAAAAGCAGATGAAGAGATGGATTCAAATGTTCCTAAAAATCGTAGTTACTCTTCCGTACAAGGTGCAGATTTTGTGACCCTGTTTCATTTCTGTTCATCTGGGCGTCACTAACGCAAATTCTCCAAAATGTGACCTGTATAACTGAGGAGTGTGCAAGTCTGAGTAACTTACACAGTTTGCTGTCGTGAGGGTAGTAATTATGCAGTATCTGTTTTCTGATAGGGTAAGCATTTTCCAGTGACTTCATTCTATAAAAAATGCCCTTGAATTTCCTTCCCTTCCTTGAGCACAGGGTGAAAGTCGTGATTCTCCTTCCTTGGACACTGGGAGCGGGGTCTTTGTGTCATTCAACACACTGACGGCCATGAGAGTTGTATTTCACTCCCTCTAGTTTTGACCCCGGGGCCATGTGAAGCATATATAAAATCTTACTTGTTGACGTTCTTGTTGCAATTAATATTGTAATTCTAAAAACATGGATTCAATGAATAGAAGTCACTAGATTTCGTTTTTCTATTTACGTTTACCTTTAAATTACACTCGAAAGTTTTTATTCTATTTTCATAGAAAATGTGGCCTGAAGAAAACTTTCTGATTTTGTGTGTGTGTGTAGCAGTTAACGTGTTAAAGTGAAGCAGGTGTCTGTAGCACCTGGGGCAGGGAGGCGTGGCCTGCACTCAGTGATTCCAGCTGCCAGTGAGCCTGCTCCAAGGACAAAGAAGGTGCAGTCGGGCCTTGCTCCAGCGCCTTCCCCGGCAGGGGACCCTCAGGTGCTCAGAACAGCCACAGCAGGAGCTGTTTGTGCCCAGAGAGGCTATAGATCTTTGCAGGGGCCATCAGCCTGCAGATGTGCTCTGGGGCACTTTGTCCCTTCTGAGGTTGCACTTGTGGTTGCTTTGGGGCTGTTTCTGAACAGCTGGTTTGGTTTTTGCATTAAGGTTTAATAATATGAACACCAGTGGCCTCACCACTCAGATAAGCAAATAGGCCTTGGGTATTGGTTAACATCTGTTCATCTCTCTCCTGGCCCCCAGGTGACCACCATCCAGTTTCTAACTTTACCATCTATTATTTATCCCCAAGGAGGATTTTGTTTAATTTTGCCTCCTTTTAAATTTCAACCAGAATATTACTGTCACTATGCACCCCCCTCCACCCCCACAAAAGGCTTTTCCGTGGTTTTGTTGCCTTGGTCCTGTGCACACTCCCTGGCACCTGAGGCTGTGGGTGCCCAGTTAGCTCATCCATCCAGGGCTTCTGGGGCGTGGGTAATTTCGAGTTGATTTTTTGAGGTACTCAACAATGCTACAACGGTCATTCTTGCTTCTGTCTCCAAGTGCAAAATGCATCCTAACTTTCTACACTTGAGAGAAAAACTGGGGGGTTGTAGATTATGAGTAAGTTTAACTTTAGTAGAAAATGCTGGTGGAGGGTGTGAACTGACTGCCCCGCCCCCTCGTGACTGTGTGTTTATTCCTTCCACGTGATCACCAGCACTTGCAATTATCTAATTAACTTCCGTCCATCTAGTGTATGAAATGGGATCTGCTTGTGATTATATATTGCTTTTTACTGGATAGCATTGAATTTGAGCATTTTTCCTGTGTGGTATTGCATCATCTGTGAACTAGTCTGTACATTTCCTTGCCTTTAATTCATCTGTCTGTGTATTGCTTTCTTACGTTTCTCATTTCTTTGTATACTCTGGGCCTCATGCTTTTTCATTTGCAGGTGCTGCAAATATTCTCTCTCGGTTTGTGGTTTACCTTTTCATTCCCTTTATTCTGTGCTGGTGAGGGGACTCTTCTTAATTTGAATAGAATTGAACGTGTCAGTCTCTTCCTTTGCAGCTTACTGTTTTGTGTGTGTGTATACATGTATACGTATGAACATACATGTATACATATGAACACTCCCTGTACTTAGAACTCATAACAACACTTGACTTTTTCTGCTCAGTGTTCTCCTTTCGTCATTCACAGTGAGATCTGCACTATATTATTGTACATGGAGTTGATATGAACATCCCTTATTCCCCCACAGATAACCAGCTGTCCTTGCCCCAGGTGTTCAAATGTCCCTCATTTCCACCACTGTGGGCGACACTTGCTGTTACAGATTCAGGTACCATAAACAGATGGTCCCATTTCAGAGATTTCTGTTCCTTTTTATTGATGTATTTGTCCATCCTGCCGCTGCTAAGACCATCTTCTCCTAATTGCTATTGTCATTTAAATGCCTTGATGTGTTTTAGGAAAGTTCCTCCATCTTGTTCTATGGAACACTTGGCTATTCTTAGATATTTGTCTCTCATTTCGATTCTTAGAAGAAGTTTTTCATGAATTAAAAAGCAAAACAGGCTTTCTGTTGCTCTGAGAGATAGCCGCTGCTCTGCCTATAGAGCAAACCTTCCTGCTCTTTGTTACTTAAATAAACTTGCTTTTGCTTTAAAAAAAAAAAAAAATGAAGCTGGTTTTGGATTTAATGGAGTTTTATTAAAACCCAAGATCTATTCGAGAGCTCTGCTGTCGTGGTGGCATAAAGTTTTCTTTCTGAGAATGTGTGCCCTCTTTCCATTCTACTCTGATGTCATTCAGTGTTTTATAATTTTTCCATGATCATTTTATATCCTTCATTAGACACAGTGTAACACTTAAAATTTGTAGTAAGTCGAAAAGTTGTAACTTAAGGTAGCTTTTATAGTCTGTGTTATCTTCTAAAAACTTTTTTACACTGCTTGTTGCTAGTAATTCAAACATTAATATAGTGAGATTTATTTTTATATTGCATTTACATTCTGGAAGCTTACTAAACCCCATCCTCTGGTTTTCTTCATGTTTCTATGGGTCTTGCATATGTAATGCTTTGAGCTATGAACAGAGGCAATTCTTACGTTTCCTCTGGCTCTGGATGGGACCTCTAGTGCAACGCTAGTAGCAGTGAGGTCATAGGATTCCTTTTGTACCTAATTTTATTGGGAATGGGTTGTACTTTATGTCATTTGTATGTTCTTTAAAGAACACTGCCTTTCATTGTATCTTTTGTCAAGCTGTGCTCGTCCTAACCTGCTAAGAGATTTTACACGGGTGCACTGCGAGTAGTGCATCTTTTTCTTCCTCTGTTCAGATGAGTTTTCTTTTCATGTGGCATTGGGATAAATTATAAAAACTGATTTCATGATATTTCATTGTATAATATATAGAAAAATGCATAAACCATTGCACAATCGAGCAAAACATTCTAAAGTGAGATTCTGTGTGACGAGAGCCAGACCAAGACTCGGAGAAGCCTTGGCCCAGACACCCCGCTGGAGAGCACTGCCCGGGCCGGGCCCCTCTCTGGGCGAGTGGTAAGTGCGTGCACCCGAGTCCATATATGTGATTTCTGCTGGGCTGGTTTTGAACGCAGTGGCAGCGTACCGTGTGTACGACTGTGTCAGGTTTCTTGTTCTCACGGTGACAGTCGTTTTCCATGGAATGGTGGTTCAGTCACTTTCATGGCCCTGTGGGACTACACCACTGTCACCTAGGGATCCCAGTGCCTCTAGCCACTGAGTAGCAGCCGGGTTTTCCCATCACGACCGGAGCTTCTGCAAACGCTACGTGGGTGTCTTAAGCATTGGATGTCTCAGCCTTGTTACCGTCGTCCCTGGCTTCCTGGGATGTCCCAGGACAGCAATCGAGAGACCACCAGACATAGCAACAAAGAAAAAAGTTTATAAAGTTCATTCAGCTGTGCACAAGGGAGCCGACACTGAGGAAGGAAAAGTCTGGGCTGCTCCCGAGGACGGTGTGGGGGCTGGTTTTACAGGGCTTTTCTGAGGGGAAGGGTCGGGCCAAAGCACGTAGAGGAGGGTTTTTCTAGCGCCTGTGCAGGAGCTTTACACACTGCTTCCTGCACTGTATGTAGCATTAGCATTTGAAGTCTGCACCCCGGGGGCGATTTTTGCTATGAAAATGAGGAAAAGGTTACTGTAAGTTGGAGCTTAACTTACCTGTGCCTGCGGGGGCTCCGGGTGGGTCCAGCCCTCTACAGCAGGAGCTGTGGCTGACGGGTTTTTGGGGTCTCGCATCTAGTTGGCTACGAATTCAGCCGCAGCTAGAGCAAGGGGCCTCTGCCCCTCCTGGACGCCAAGGCAGGAAACCGGCCAGTCTGCCTGTCTTAGGATTTGGCTTCATGGTTGCCCTTTTGGGGGTGCCAACCCCCCACCCCCACTCAAAATGGGTTAGGGGTTGAGACACACGCATCGAGAGGGGAACAAAATATTCAGTCACCTGGGCAGATCAGGGTGGGCGGGCAGGTCGAGGTGGCCAGAGGGGAGCAGGGACTGGGTCAGGCCCTGGTGGCTGGGGGTTCATGTGCTTTGACCTTGATT